GAGATTAACCACTGACACTCAGATAGTTATCCATGTGGAATCTCTCGACGGGTCTCCAATGTTTTGTTCTATAACAAAAACATCCACGTGTTCATTTAAGTGTCACCACACTTTAGCTTGTGAGATCAGCTACTTACTTCACAAGTAAGAAATGCCACACGTGATGGTCTATCCGTAATAACGATATCCGTATCTCGTTATTACTTACGACCACGGATGATTTAAGATTCAATCAGATATAATTTGTATCTCACAATCACAACTCCTTGTGATTAACAAATTACGAAGATTTGAATCTACGGACTCTATTATTTATTTAATTATCTATTAATTAAATAATAGATCTGCCATTTAATTGCATTAAATATATAAAAATATTTATGTCCAAAGTTGATTGGACCTAGGGCATAATACTTACAGAATAAACAGTCGTAAAGCTTAATAGCTCAAGTCCCACATTTACAACCATTAGCTGATCAATTCTGCGGAATGTAAACTTGTCCGTGGGACATGCTTTGTTTAAGTCCTTAAAATCCTTGAAGGTTTGCCATTTTTAATTATTTTTTGGGCACTAGTATTAGATTACATACCCAAACTAGGTATTGAGCTTCGCGGATGAAACCATTTTCTAACAATATGCCCACTTTATTTTTCAACGCTTCATACATTTTAGTGCCCATCGCTCATCTCCTTTGCATTTTAGGTTTTATCTTAAGATCAATTTTCAAAGGATGACAAGCTACTTTGGGATTTATTTCCACCATATCAGTATATTCCCATGCGAACACATCTAGGTTCACTTTCAAAAAAATCTTTCAATAGGCCTTTCATACGTTCATTCAATTCCTTTTCAAATTTTAGAGCTTTACTCATATCTTCTGAACTGACTGAAACTTTCCAATTCTTTGACTGTAACAGCTTCGAATATGTAGTTAGTTATGCGAGGATCGATCAAGTAATCGATTTCAAATTTCTTTATGCGATTACTCATCTCAACTATAGCAATTACATTCTTTTGGAAGCATGTAGGGCACTTTTCCTTAGGTCATTACGATGGTTTCTTTGCAACATTCCTTAAATGTGTTTTACAGAGGCGTCACTTTATTCATGGAGAACCTCGCGTGTGACTAATGAAGAAAAGTCGTTATGTTCACTTGCCTCATGGACGTTGTCCAAGGATTTCCTTCTTATGCGGGTTTTTCTTTTATGATGTCAAAATCCATATATCCCAGGTATGCTTGGGGCTCCTCCCATATCTTCACTAGGAGAGTGGCTTATCCGCAAGGAATTAGGCTGCATGTGGTGAAGTAGTAAGGCTCCAACAAAGGAATTCAGGGATTATATTTTTGCATTCGATCGAAAGCATCTTCATATACAACATTCATTGTACTTCCATTGTCTAAAAGCATATGATGAAAACATTCTGCAACTATCATTACCTGAATGACTATTACCTCATCCTTAAGACTTGAGTTTCCACTCCTAAGTTATATAGACTTAACTGGCAAAATTATAGATTTTGAATTACCTAATTTTTCATGGGCTTTTGAAGTTATGTTTTGTTCAAAAGATTTACCTTTCGGATTTCTTACTTTCATATGCAGATATGCATTTTCCAACGTCAACTCTTCAAGGCTTCTACCATCTCCTATATGGCGTTTGCCGTCGACTTCTTCTTCTATAGATGATGACATGGAGTAGAAGATAGATCAGCTTGCTACTTCATTAAACTCTCCTCTTGCTATTACTTTGGATTTCCATCGCTATCGACTAGATCATAACTGAATTATTGACTTGTTCTCTTTACTTAATCTTGATTTGCCTTGACTTATCTATCTGCAGATTTCAGTGATTTCTCAACTTGGTGAATGTCTCCTTGATTATCTTTGCTCTGTTTTTCACGTACAACACCAATTTGTTGACCATAAAATTATTATCAATAAGTTCCTCTCACCTAACTAGGATTTTCTCTTCCTAAACTCACAATACTTGATGCTCAACAAGGAGCAAGAGGAAAAATGACTATCTAGGAGGTATATATATTTGAATTTGCACACATTCTTCTTCTTAGGCGAGCCTATTTATAGATTATCCTTGGAGGCCTAGGGGATAACTTGGTCCTTTTCGTAAATGATAGGTGGTGGTCATTTAATGGTGAGTTTATAATTGATTTTGTTGTGTATTCACATTTTATTCATTAGCTGACATGTCTTGCATTCATTGTTCTTGAAGTCACATTTTAAATATTTTATCCTCTCGCATATTGATAAGTGTATTTTATACACTTATTTGAACCATTAAATGTGATTAATTGTAATTTTATGGCTTAATATAATGTTAATTTTATTTGTTAGGTAAAACTCGAGGAAAATTGGGTGAATTGGAAGAAAGAAGCGAAAAATGAAGAAATATAAAGTTTGGGAACAAATCGCAAATATCCAATAATTGATTCAAACCACAAAACGATAATTGAAGATTGTTATGGGTTAATTGGATGTAATTGGAAGCCAATAAGGAGTGAAATACAATCAAAATATTTTCACAAATTCATTTCAAATCACGCAAAATATGTTCCAGATTTTTAATCTAAGATTGAGACATATGTTTTGAATAGCAAACATTTGAATTGGAAACATTCTTCCTCTAGAAGAATTATAACCTTTTGAGTCATCTTTCCAATGCATTTTGAATTACGTCAATCGGATGTCGACAGAGAAAATTAAGATTAAAATACCGACAACCGCATAGAAACATAATCATGTGCGCATTAAGGCAACTTTTCTTATTTGATTAGAACTCTCTTGGAATCCAAATTGGAAGTAATTTTTCACCTAATTTCACCTTTTTAATACAAGACATGCCAGCCATTGAGGGATCTCTCTCATCTTTCAAATCACATCCATATTATTATTAATAAATGAGGGGCCAATTCAATATTCGTTGGAGATTAGAACGAATCTAGTGTTACGGATTGAATCAAGAAACATTAAGAGCTTGAAGAATCAAATCTCGGGGTTGATAATCAAGAATAAGGATTAGACCATGACATCTCTTCCTTGTATTTATAAATTTCGGGTCATACTTCTCCATTCTTCTTGTTGTTTTATTATTAGAAACATGTTTAACTAGATTATTTGTACTAGATGAAGACTTTATTGTTTATTTATTTTAATTCAAGACCAATAGTTTAGTAATTTTTGCATTTCTTGATTAATTTTACATACCCATTGCATTATTTAGTTGATTGGCTACTAGTTAGATGATTAGTTGCCTGTTGTAGTAGTAGAAGATTTACAATAAGTTTAGAATGCAAAAAATTAATATATGTGCAATAGATATTAGGAATAACATTTATCACATATGTAATCATATAAATAATGTAAAATTTAATGCATTCTAATAATTCAAATTCAGGCAAGACATAGGTTCGGGTCGTTGTTAGGATAAATTTAATTTATCTTGAAAAAGAAAATTATATATCGAAGCTTTATTGATTATTAGAACGCATGAATAAAATTAGATTACAAATCAAGAATTGAAATAGATAACAATAGGAGAATTCTGAATATAATACAATTATCCATAATTTGATACAAAAATACCTTTTTACCACTTTCTTAGATAAGTTAGCATAAAATCAAATCAAAATATCTCCTTTATTTACATCATTCGAATTCCATACAAAATTAGTAAATTTGAATTGAAATTCTCCATGGGACAATACTCTATCTTATCAAAATTATTACTTGCCAACAATTCCGTACACTTGTGGGATTTTACCGAACAGGTTTTTGGGGGTTTATAACTAATTCGGTTGTGTATTCATATTTTATTCATTAGCTGACAAGTTTTGCATACATTGGTCTTGAAGTCACATTTTAAACATTTACCTGCTTGTATATTACTTATGATTTCTTTAATGGAGATAGCTCGCCTTCTTGTCTATGAGCTTCTGAGTTTATTCTTAGTTTCACGTTCTTAGGGTCGCATAAAGATGTCACGTCCTCATTTGTTCTCCCCACTTATATATTCTTATTCAACAGTAGGATTGTTATTCTGATCAAGCAAATGGGAATAATATATTTGGTACATCAAATTGAAGATAATTAAGGAAGATTACAAATGCTAGAAAACTTACCTTAGCTTGTGAACATGAACCTCAGAGAGATATATGTAATTGGTCTCCACATCTAGTTCTCTACATTGCATCTTGAAGGAACAGTGATGAATCTGTCGTATTAATGAATCCACATCAAATGAACTTCTCTAAGATGTATATATACATTTGTAAACAGTCAATGTACTGCATCTTGGTTTTTGTATTGATTCCTCCTCCTACTAATAATAAGAGGATCATTTAAGTACTGATAAGCTATGAGTCTTACAGAATTCGTGGATAATGAGTGAGTAGTAATTGTGGATCCAACAAAATGTGTTAACAAAAAATGTTTTGACTTTAAATTTTACTTTAAGCGGTGCCCCAAACATACATTTAGATTTATTTCTCAAGCAATTGTTTGCATTCAAGTATACCAGTGAATTTGAGAACTCAGCAATAGCACACTCCTATTCATTGCATTTCAAGAGTATAAAAGATTTCATCACGCCCTCCTCCCCCATCTCCCACAAAAAAAAATAAAAATAATAATAATAATAATAATAAAATAAATCCTCCAACAGATAAAACAAAAAGGAGAGTTTGGGGATAATATCAAAAGAAAGATGATGCAGTTTGTTTGTAAATTTTCCTAAGGATTATCTCTTCATTGTTTTTCTCTTAACAAAGTGCAATGCATTCACACCATTTATGCTGCCGACTGCTAAAAATGCCAAAAGCTGTTACTGTTGTAATTTGGACCGAAAGAAAATGACAAACATTGCGAAGTAAGAGAAGAAAATGGTCTAATTGTAATTTAAAGATTATAATTGGGCATTTTCTTTATGATTCCCATTGAAAACATCAGCCGCAGCGTCACCAACTCTTGAATTCCACTCCTAAACGCTGAAATCTAAGAGCAACAGAATAGGAAAAATTAAGGTAAATTTTCTGTGTTTGACTATCATTTCCACATTTTCACATGTTCATGCAGGTTTGGATGATTCTTGAATGTTAATTGATGTAGAATTTTGATTCATATGATACGAAGAATCATTCATTTCTTGTTGTGTCTTTGTTTTGATTATCCTTCATATATTTGATATGTCTGAAGTTTATGGTTGCTATCCAGCACTAGACACGACTCACATCTTCTTTGATACTGTCAAGTGCTATCCAATATTTTCTACCGAACATCCCAGAACCGTATTGGATGATTTCTTATTTTTGCTCATTCTGCAGTTTGCTCATTCTGCAGTTAGTTTAATATAGCTGTTGAATCAAAGTGTTTAGTAGTTGAAATTAATAATTCATTCAATAAGTTTTGACTCAGCAGCTAATCATTTTAACCTTTGTTGCAAATAGGAAATCAAACCAGAAAAAGATGGGATCAGAGGGGCGAAAATCTGTCATTATTAATGTAACTGGATTTAAGAAATTTGAGGGAGTTGCGGAGAATCCAACTGAGACAATAGTAAATAATTTGAGGAATTATGTGGCTACCGCAGGATTACTGCCTCCTGGTATTAATTTGAGAATTTGCATGGTTCTTGAAACTGCCGGAGATGGCGCAATTTCCACCTTTTACAAGGTCATGCAGTCCGGGATATCGACAGGATCCCGTCTTGACAACGAAAAGATTGTATGGGTGAGTTTGAAAATTCACCTCTTGCACTAAATTCAAATTATTATTCAATAACAAGATCGATGGAGAGAAATATTGGGATTTTTTTGGTTTCTAATCGAGTATTATCATCGTTTCTAATTTCAGCTTCATCTGGGCGTGAATAATGGGGGACTGAATTTTTCCATTGAGCGTCAGGCAGTAAATGAAGCCAGTTTTTGTTGTCCTGATGAGCTCGGGTGGCAACCTCAGGTAAGTTTTTGCTAACTTTTGCTTTATAAGGTAACTAATACAGTTTGTCTGAATTCGATTTGGTTTTTCAGCAACTGCCTATAATTCTTGGAGATGGAGGAATACATCAGATAAGAAGGGTAATAGATCCTTTTCTAGACTTTGATTTTTCATTTTTCTACTAGTTCAAATTTGAAAATTTGCTGAATCATGATATACCTTGAATTTGAATACCCGGCTATAAATCGAGTATTATCATCGTTTTTAATTTCAGCTTCATCTGGGCGTGAATAATGGGGGACTGAATTTTTCCATTGAGCGTCAGGCAGTAAATGAAGCCAGTTTTTGTTGTCCTGATGAGCTCGGGTGGCAACCTCAGGTAGGTTTTTGCTAACTTTTGCTTTATAAGGTAACTAATACAGTTTGTCTGAATTCGATTTGGTTTTTCAGCAACTGCCTATAATTCTTGGAGATGGAGGAATACATCAGATAAGAAGGGTAATAGATCCTTTTCTCGACTTTGATTTTTCATTTTTCTACTAGTTCAAATTTGAAAATTTGCTGAATCATGATATACCTTGAATTTGAATACCCGGCTATCATGTTTGCCAAGAAAATTAGAGAGTACAAGACAATTAAATAAGAAAATTTTGTTCACAATAATGTCAAGTAAAGTCTACTACTGCTTATCAGCCATACTCTGTATGGCTTCAGTCTTCATGTATGCACTAACATTTATCTATCGGTTTTCCGTAGACATCTTGCCCTATTGAGGCAATCCAAGAGTTGTTGAGAAGGAAGGGATTTGATGTGACAATATCCAACGATGCAGGTCGTTTTGTATGCAACTTTGTGTACTATCACTCCCTCCGGTATGCAGAACAGAAAGGCCATAACTGTCTGTTTGTTCATCTCCCGCCCTTCTCTAGAATTGACGAGGCAAACCAAATGCAATTCATTTTAGCCCTTCTGGAGGCCATTGCATCAACTTGTTGATTTCTTTCTTGTAGTTGAGTGAGAATGATAGTTTTTCATCTTTAACTTTTGTAAATATATCTTGTTCTTCTTTGATGAATAAAATAAACTCCTCCTGAATATGTACACAACCAGGGGGTCACAGTTGAATTTACAATTTAAATGTAGCAATCTGAATTGTTGGATGGAATTCTGAGATTTCAAAACCTAACGGAATTCAGAATGAATAAGGAAACACAATTATGGTTTTAAAACATCCACAGCATGCTTGGTAAGAAAGTTCAGACAGTATTAAACAATTTTAAGAAAGAAAAATAAGTTACAAATGGAGATGATGATATAACTAATGAAAAAGTTTGCATTCTTCCATAATTTTGTTATACTTGGAGCATCCATTTTGACCTGAACCAGTCCTTTTCACTTTAAGAAGCCAAAATATTTATGCTTTTGGGAAGATATAAGCAAATTTTGGACTGCAGAATATTCTCCTACCAGTAACTCTCTTCGGAGTGGATTTTCGAGAACCAGATTTTGCAACATAGAATCGGTCACACGGGCTTGTACCAGTTTCATTGATGTCAAATTCTAAATGTCCTTCGATTCTTTGCCATCTCCTTTTCACTTTAAGAAGCCAAAATATTTATGCTTTTGGGAAGATATAAGCAAATTTTGGACTGCAGAATATTCTCCTACCAGTAACTCTCTTCGGAGTGGATTTTCGAGAACTAGATTTTGCAACATAGAATCGGTCACACGGGCTTGTACCAGTTTCATTGATGTCAAATTCTAAATGTCCTTCGATTCTTTGCCAGATTTAGCGAAAAAATTTATGATTTTGTGCATCAACCACGATGATTATGACAAACGTAAACTCAAATTCCCATGAGTCAGATTTACAGTTCTGTTACTCAATCTAGTGAATCAAGATATAAATTGTGGCTGTCCCGTGGTTAGAAAATTCCCACCAGTCAAATTATTTTTTCACCGAACCTGAAATTTCTTCGAAGGTGAATCACACAACCTCCAATTTTGTGATAGATTTTGCAGTAAAGATTGTATCACTCCGTGCACAAGGAAATACCTAATGGCATCCCCTGTTAATAATATTCAATTATTTCAATTTATTTTTTCAAGGCAAATTCTATCAGGTTCCAAAGCATGTCATGCAAGTCCATAATGGAGCTCATATAAACACATATTCTAAACTTTTGATGCTTAAATCTAGGGGTAGACCCAGGATTATGGTTTAGTGGGGGCGAGGCACAATTACTCAAAAAGTAATTTCAAAATAGACAACAACAATAATATTCAAAACATAGCACTATTTTTACAATTGTTCCTTATGGCTTCTTATTCTTTGAAAACACCATATAATAGTCACATCATCAATTTCATTAAATACATCATTTTCAACATGCACAACTAAGCTATCATTCATCCATTGGTCTCCAATCCAATTACGCAGTTGATTATTCATAATGTTTATAGTAGAAAAATACTCTTTCAACTATAGTAGTAGTAACCAGAAGAGTTAATCCTAAAGTCAAAAGCATGTAAACTAATCAGTACACTATTGTTATTATTGTTGTTGTTGTTGTTGTTTGGTCACAAGCAACTTCAGTCCAAGTTCATTAAGTCCCGGTAATTCTCCAAGAGCAGAAATAAGTATAAAAAATAAATAATAAGAATTAGAGAGAGAGGGAGATCTCTTCTTCTTTCAAAATATCGTGAGTCGATTTTGATACTTTGTGCAATTTGAGTTGGAATCACTGGCAAGCAGTAACTTGGCGTTTGAGAATTGAGTTTAGAAACAGTTTGAGGAAGAGAAGTGTTGGAAATTAGACTTGATTCATCAATGTTGGAAATTAATTTTGATACATAAATTAGTTTATTTAATATTCATGTATTTATTTTATTCATGTATCCACATGGTTCTTTGTATCCAATTATTCATAGTATGTAGGAGAAGTCATTAATTAATCTGTTGAGTTTATACAATGTATTTGGAATCCTTTGTGCCTATAAAATGCCCTGTGCATGAGACATTTTATAGAACTATGTCATAGAATACACATACAATTCTAGCAATTTTTGTGTTTTCTCTCTAGCCCGCCTTTCTATAATTATTTATTTTCAACAAAGTGATATCAGAGCCACTTTAAACAATGAAAAGTTCATTTCCTTTTGTTTTTCCCAATCTTACAAAGGAAAATTATGGACATTGGAGTATATGCATGAAGGTGTTGCTCGGTTCACAGTAGGCATGAGAAGTTGTAGAGAAAGGCTATGATGAACCAGAGGGTGAAGGAGCTTTAAGTCAAGCTCAAAGAAATGCCTTACAAAGGAACTGCAAGTCAAATCAAAACTCTCTCTATTATTCTTCACATGGATTTAGATGAAGGCATGCTCGAAAAAGTTGCTTCCTCGACAAAAGGTAAGGAAGCTTGAGAGATTCTCGAGAACAATTTCAATGGAATTGAAAAAGTGAAGAAGGTTTGCCTTCAAATCTTTCATGGGAAGTTCGAATCTCTGCACATGAAAGAGTCAAAATCTATTTTTGACTATTTCACTAGAATGTCCTCCATTGTCAATCATATGAACCGTTACGGGGATAATATTAAAGAAAGTCGTATCATCGAGAAAATTCTTAAATCTCTTAACTCAAAATTTGAGTTTGTTAGTATTTCCATTGAAGTGTCAAATGACTTTGATATCATGACCCTGGATCAACTTATGGGGCCCTTGCAAGCATATGAAGAAAGATTGAAGAAGAAATGAGAATTAGTAGCTCAAATTCTTTAAATGAATGTCTCTTTGGGAGATCAAGAGAAAGAGCAAGGACGATCTTAAGGAAGAGGTCAAATATGTGGTCGTGGTCACGGAGGAAATTATGTTCCTGGTAATGGAAGAAATGATGGAAAAAAAATTTTGAATAATGAAGGATCAAGTAACCAATCGAGATGACAAGGCCATTAGAACTATGGCTACAAGAAAGGTGGCAAAAGAAGGTATGACAAGTCTAACATTCAATGTTACACTTGTCATAAATATGGTCACTATACTTCCGATTATAGAAGCGACACCACCAATAACGAGAGAGTTACTTATGTTGAAACAAAGAAAGATGAAGAGTTATTTCTGTTGTTGGAAACCATAGAAGAAAAGGATAAACGATCATGGTATCTTGACACTGACACCTCCAATCACAATGAATGAGTTGGTGAAAGACAATGTTATTTTTGGAGATGAAACCAATGATCCAATAAAAAGCAAAGGTGATGTTCTTATTCATGCTACAAATGAAAGTCATCTTTTGATTTCTCAAGTTTATTATGTACCTACTTTGAAGTCTAATATTTTGAGTTCGGGACAATTACTTGAGATTGGCTATGATATTCACATCACATGAAGAATCGTTGCCTTGCTTTGAAAGATGTTCCTCATAATCCGATTGCAAAGGTACCAATGGAGAAGAATATAATGCTTTTGTTCAATGTTAATGTTGACCATCCAAGGTGTTTAAAGGCTTGTGTTGAAGATAATTCTTGGCTTTGGCATTTAAGATTTGGACATGTGAGTGGCTTGAAGACGTTGACGAATGAAGAAATGGTGAATGGTTGCCGAAAATTAATCATCTTAATCAACTTTGTGAAGGATGTCTCGTTGGCAGGCAAGCTATAAGATGCTTTTAAAAGGAATCCATTTCAAAAGCAACAAAGCCACTCCAACTTGTTCATGTAGATGTCTATAGGCCTATTAAATCACCCTCTCATGGTAAAAAAAAAAAAAAAAAAAAATTACTTCTTGCTACTTATTGATTATTTTTCTAGTAAGACCTGGGTTTATTTCTTGAAGATGAAAGATGAAGTTTTTAGAGCATTCAAAAAATTCAAAGCGCTTGTTGAAAATGAGAGTGGCAACTCCATCAAAGAATTAAGGACCAATCGAGGTAGAGAATTTACTTCCAAGGAGTTTAACAATTTTTTTAATACCAATGAAATTTGGCATTTCCTCACAGTTCCAAGATCACAGCAACAAAATGGTGTCGTGGAGCAGAAGGATAGAACCATCCTTAACATGGTTCGTAATATGCTTAAGAACAAGAGTATACAGAAGGAGTTTTGGATCGAAGCTGTTGCATGTGCCGTGTATTTGTCTAATCTTTCCCCGTCGAGGAGTGTTCACGAGATGACTCCACAAGAAGCTTCGAGCGGTGAGAAACCTAGTGTCTCTCAGTTGTATTTTTGATAGTATTGCCGACTGATAAGTGTATTTCATACACTTATTTTATTCATTAAACTAGAGCAGTTTTTGTTATTTAGGATGAATTGATGCTTAAATATTTCATTTGTTAGGTGTAACTTAAGGCAAAACAGTGAAATTGGACAGAAGAGCGGGAAGTTTGCTAACTTGGCCCTAATCAAAAGTTTGGGGACTAAATCGTAAAGTATCAAAAGTTGATTTGGACATGATGTTAATGATTGAAGAAGAGCAAGAGGCAATTAAATGGTGTTAGAAGATGAATGATCAAAAATATGTTAGATATGGACCAAAAGGAACGAAGAATGAAGTATAGGGACCAAAGTGTAATACATAGAAAAATGTCATAACGGCGCGCCCATGCAAAGGGTTGAATTTCATAAGCAGAACGTAGAACCAATAGGCAGCGTGCGTAAGGAAATATACCGTGCAAGCTCGGCATTTGTCGGAGAAAAATCGGACAGATTCCTTTTTTGATACAAACCCTTATGGAAACAAAATCAATCATACCATTTAACCTAGGGCGACGACAAGAATGCCTACTTCTTCTTCTTGAAGATAAAAAGAGGCTTGGAAGGAGAGAAAATCTAAGAGGCAAAGATCAACAAGAATAATTGCAAGAAGATTTATGACAATTGGGGGAAGAATTCACGCAACACAACTAGTTTTTCTCTTATTCCATACTTATTCTCCATGTTCTTTATTGTGTATTTCATTATGCTAATCAATTCAATTATGAACTAAACTTTGAGATCTAGGGCTTGACGTAACCTGTTTGAGACATGTTTTGATTCCAATACAATTATTTCCTTTGATTTTCCTGAAATTTATTTATATTGTTCTTGTTTAATGCTTTCAATTGCCTGATCAACAATTGAATGATTGAATGCTTTAAGTTTGCTG